AAACAAAGGCAGGATTTGCCTTTTATAAATTCAATAATGTCTGAGTCGGCCCCAACTCCCACCTGTGGCCCCTGTGATTTACACCCCTCCAAACAAACATACAAACACAAGAAATGTAGGAATGCACAGCGCACACAAGCACCTGCACTAACAGAGACCACTGCAGCATTAACGTGTTTAGATGCAGTTTGTATCTTAATCTCAGTCAACTTGTTTCTCACTCCCTTGGGGTTAGAAATGCCCGTTCAATTCCTAGTCATGTGAAACAAAGCCACGCTAAAGCCTCTCCCCCGGAGCTTTGAAGGGATTCTGGGGAAATCGGATACAGGGATGTTGTCATAACATTTACCACTCGGAATGCATAATGCTGGATTTGAAGTGAACAAAGTGACCTATAAGCCACAATGTCAGACACACTGGCTTTGTCAGAAATGTATTATCTCAGGACAAACCCCTTGAGATGTATTATCTCGTTTTCAAGGGGGTCCCAAGCAAACAGAACAGTATGAGACACAATAATATATAACACAACAATAACAGAACAAACAACCAGCAAACAATCAAACAAATAAACTAAACAACTAAAAAAATAAAGAGTTACAACCTTAAACTAGACACAGTCAAAAGAAAAATGATCAATCTATAAATAAAAGAAGGAACATTGATAGCATTACTGAAAACAATTTGTGTTAAGATGAGAAAACTGAATATTTTCAAATAAGCAAGATAATAACAGAGGACGGGTATTTACAGGTCTCTTATTTCAATCAAAAGTAGCCCAAAATATGAACTGTTTGTTCTTCAAGTTCCTTAGATACGAAGGGGATCAGAGCGTCTTGTTGTGTCTTTTGACATATAAAGAATAAAAAATTGTAAGGGAAGTTAAAATTAATGCATTTAAAAATAAATTGATCCCAGTGAAATCTGTGGTTTTATATCAAGCAGGGGCCACTTGAGCGTGTTTTGTTCGTAAGAATGGTGTTTAAGAAAATAACTGCCTAGTATGAAGTTGCACAGTCTGTTATAGGCTTATATAACATTGAGGGGAGGAAGATCAGATTTTAGAAGATTTCTGGTAAACAGCTAATCAATTATTGCTAAATATAAGTTATGAAACAAGTCAGTTGTCTGCTACAGAACACCAACGTCAAAGTTTACCTTTTCATTAAATGTTCAATGTATGGTTAAAAGTAAGTTCAGAGCTAATCCAAACACCTAGATATTTATTTTTTTATTTTACTTACTGAAGAGATTTATAGTCATTACAGGCTAAAACCAAAGAGTTGGATTTGGAGGTTCTGTCTCACACAAAGAAGCATTGAATATGTTTTTGTTTTATGAAGCAGTAAATTGTTAGCTCACAAACATGTATATTACACATTGTATAATATTAAAATCAGATTGCAGGGCCACTTGAATTTGTGATGTAGGTGTTTTATGTTTACATAATAGTTCCATCTGCATATGGATGCACAACAATTGGAAAAAGGTGTGATAAATAATAAAAATAGAGAAAATAAGTGGTCCTAAAGTAGAACCTTGAGGCACGCTTTGCTGAGTAGTAAGCAAATCTAATGTACACCCCAATGACACATTGTTTTTGGTGGTGAATATACAAATGAAACCACATCACTGCATGTTGTGAGAGACCAATAGCATACAGCTTGTCCAAAAGAAGATAATGATCCACCAGAGAAGTTTTGGTGTGATCAAAAAATATTGCTTCTGCAAGGTAGCCATGATCAGGTGCAGAGAAAACACTGTTCATGAATTTTAAGAGAGTAGTAGTTGTGTGTGGAAATGTTAGATCTGAAAACCAAGTTAAAATGGAGACAGGAGAATACTATCATTAAGGTGCTGTGATGATTGATACTTTAGCAATGGAATAGATAACTGAAATGGGTCCGTAATTGGGATCAAAGTTACCATCATTGTGGAGATTTCCAAATAGCTTGTATTTCATATACACACAGAGGAACGGATCAGCCAATAGATACACATCACACACACACACACACACACACACACACACACACACACACACACTAATGCACTCTTGTCATAACAGAGATTAAACTTCTCCTGGACAACATAGGTACTCATTTTATTCATGAAAACATCAGTAAACAAAGTCCCTGTAGTAATATTTTTAGTGGTTACTGGTGATATAAGAGGAGCAGATGGTAGGCAGTAGGCCTACTACTTTTAAGTTATAAGTACTGATGTGTACTAAGTTGTAAATTGTGATACTTTTGAGTATCAGAGGCACATTATATGTACTTATATAAGAGTTATTATAGTAAAATGCCGTTAAATAAAATGATATAACGCCGTGGCTCCACACACTCGGTGTGTTTTTAAAAAAATGTAATTATTGAAAAACATTAGGTCACAAAATGGTGTTTGTAAATATAAAGTTTTAAACTCACCGAGATTGACAAAGCTCATCACCATGTCTGCGTCATCCAAGAAGCGGCTGTCCTGCGGGGTCACCATGGGGGACACCTGGGTCGGTAAAACGGGCTTGTAGTAGGAGTATCCGGGCGGCGCTGGGTCTGTGGAGATGGTATTGTACAGGTCCAGCATGAACATCGGGGCAGCGTTTTGTTTGGTGTGGACGTGCGGCCGCGGACGGTGCGGCAGCCCCAGGATGGAGAGGATCTCCCGCTGCATCTCCCTGCGCTCCTGGCTCCGCAGCCGCCGCTGGATGAAGCTGGAGCGCACTTCATTGTCCACGGAGAAGTTGGAGAAGGCGACCTGCGTTGCCAGCACGCAGTAACCCCAAGACAGGCAGAGCAGTAGCCGCACCAGGGCGCTTGTCAACATTTTACCTAAATTGTATGTGCGGCTCGAACTAGTCGGAAGATAAATAGTTCCACCCGTGATGATAGTAAAATAAACTATCCTCTATCACACACTGTAGTTGTTCACTGTCTTGGTGTGATACGTGCGCTCTTGTTGGTGGCAACTTGGGAATGGATTTTATTGAGGCGCCGTGTCAGGGGAGGGGCAGGAGGGGTTCAGAATGGGATAAACCAAGACTGGAAATACTGGGAGAGTGTGTGGGGGTGAGTTAATGACAAGTAGATCAGTGTCCTACTATGAAGTGCACTTCTCTATCTTGGTAATAAGATAGGTGGGGTGCGGACTTTTCAAACCAAAGTGCCCCATCACTGCGCCCTTTGTCTGGACATGTTTGTTTGGCCACTGAAGAAAATGGGCTCCAATTGTAAATATCTGATTAGCATATCTTTCCCTGGTGGTCTCTCTCTCTCTCTCTCTGCAAGCAGTGACCTGGCAGCCATCATCTTTCTGTCAGTCGTCTGCTTCCAGCAACAAAAGGTCACAAGCAGCTTACTTATTTTAAAACCCCCTCCGTTTTGCAATAACAGATCTGGATAGTTTAGATTTAGTGTCACTGCGCCCCGCCCCTGTGCACATGGAGATACTCCAACAGCGCTAAATGATCAGTCTAAAGATAAAAAGGTAAATCCTCTAATCCCTTCTTCAACACAGACACCTTTGAACTCAAACAATAAACGCAGGCCCACCCTAATTGTTGAGGAGTTTGAGTGATCTGCAGCAGTACAGGCACATGAAGAGACATGCCAATAGCCCCAATGAATTACTACAACAATGTGTAAAGCTCCACTGTGACTACTTTAATGGAGGGTTAATGGGTGTGGGGATGGGCAATGAATGACAAAGCAAGAATCCAACACTGAAGTGCAGATTATACATGTGCTTCAATCGGGTCTGAGGACAGCCGTGGTTGGATCAGCACATAAAACTGGAGGAAGGGTATATCAGAGCCACAAACTGAATTGACCATTTACTAATGTGCTTTTCGGTTTCTCAACTTCTATTTTCAGCTTCTGTCTCTGCATATAGGGGGACCATCGGAAGAGTCCATAAATAAGCTAAAACCACACAACCAGTTTTCCATGAGCATCATACACTACAGCCTCTTGAGATGTTTTCCCAGCAGAGGACACTTTAGATGGCTCATCCCTGCAAATCCATACAAACAAGATGATTCCTCCCCATCCACTACGGACATTTGTAAACCGTACTACTGCTATAATACTAACAGTTTAAGACTGTACAAATCTATTTTGCTTAAGGACACTTCAGTTTTGTGGATACATGCCAACAGGTCCCCTAACTGACAGTCTGTCCATTCACATCATCAGCCCACTCGCCAGAGCGGAAGGAGGCTTTACATTATGTCGCAGCAGCTCCATTGTGTAGCTTAACTTCTACACAGTCAGACATTTTTCTGCCTCAAGGATATACTGCACTTAATAATTAAGTTCATCCACTCTATTCTTTTCATTTGTTTAATGTATACTGACTCAGTGCTATAAGAGTCATTCATTACAGCTCCCACTGGAGCTACAACCATACTGTGTGTCACACCGAAGGGCTGAATATATAAGGATCTGTTATACATTGATACTGTGAAGGGTTCATATTGATCCTACATCACAATTCATTCTAATCATAATTGTTCTATAATATAGCCTAGTTAATTTATATTTAGGATCACTCTACAGGTGGCCATCAGCTAAAGCCAAGTCTGGATGGTTGAGTCCTTGGGCAAACATGCACACATTTCACATGCTCATAATTTGCTTATTTGTTCTAATTTAATTCAGGTTATGTGTCCATTCAGGAAAAATCCAGGTATGAATGAAAACGTACAGTTACTAAATATATCTGTATAGTTAAGTAAAATGTAGGTCTTTTCATTTGATGCTATTTCACTAAAGAGTTGACCTACCTCACATGATTCACTGGGATATGTTGCCCACTGCACTAGTATTGTGTGTTTGTGGCAGACAGATGAGGAAGAGTGGACTCTGTCTCCACCTGGTCCCTGTACGGGGTTACGATCATGGGACAAGCTGTATACGTTAACGAGTTACTGAGGGTACAGAGACTATCACGCACTGCCATCAAGCGTTTACTCTACAAACTACATGCTCTTACCGGGGCACGTCATCAAACTGCGACATATGAAACAAGCGCCACATTTTTTGCTGCGGCAAAACATTTCCATCGCTACAAGCTTACAGCCACAGTTTACCACATTTGGGGTACGTATGATCCTGTACTTCTACTGCGGGACTGCAGACCATACACGGTTTAAACGTTGTGTTACACAGGGACTTTTTTAATCCGGTAGCTAACATGATGGTCTCACAAACTAGCTAACATTAGCCAGCGTTGGATTATTTATTATATATATTATATTTATTCCTGACCAACACAATGGCTACAAAACATAACGCATTTAAAATATCGTATATATCATACTAACGAGCTATATAACGTTAGTATTTAGGAGCTAGCAGCGGTAATAATCCTATAACAGATAGCTAAGTTAGTTAGCATTAACATTAGCTGTGTAGCTACGTCTTGTCAAGTGTCAACTGGTCAATATTATTAAAGTTAGCCTTTCACAAAGTCTTACCTTTGTCATGTGGCCTTTCCTTTCCTCGCTGAGTGCTATGATGAAGTGGTTGTACTGTAACCTGTTCACATTAGTTTATTGGACCCAGCGCCAGATACAGTCGCTGCTATAGTATATAGTATATATAAATATATATATATATATATATATATATATATGCTTCAACTAACTAACTGTTACCCAGTGTGACAGTCTGCCTTTGTCCTCTCTCACAGGCGAACATCAGGACAAACGTTAATGCACTATGAGTTTATTTGGGGCAAACACCGGGTTTGGAGCCGGAGGGACCGGTGTCTTCGGAAACACAACAACAGACAGCCACAACCCCATGAAGGTACTCCAGTGGGCTGCTGGGAGAGAGCATGTTACATGGCTTTTATTTTAAAAAAAACCCTCTCCTGTTGTTCAAACGTGGCTGTCTAACATCTGTTAAACTATAGGGATCCTGTTTGTTCTCATCCGCCTCATCTGTTTCTTTGAGACTAGTTTGAGGACTGATTTCTAAATGATCAGTCCTCTACATGTGAATGATGGTCATCTGTTTACAGTGCATGAGTTAGGTGTGTTGGAGACCCTCCCTGCATGGGCACGGGTTACAGGTTCATGGACATTAGTGTCATTTTATGAATGTTCGTGCATTGTTAGGGTTGTAATTTTGTTTACGTTGGGCTTCACAATGTTTCCTCACTTCCATCAGATTTAGATATTACCAGTCAGTGTGGTCAGGCTATGAGTGATGTTGGTGCATGATTGGTGGCGGTTCAAGAGACCTTTTAAGTGATAATCATAAGCACCCTATAAAAATGAAACCTCACTAAAATCTCTTTAAAATCAGCTTTAGTTACATCAACAGTTACAACAATTTAAATCAGTCTTTCAACTGTGTTTTAATGTTTTAAATGAGTTTATTTCTCAGTATCTCAAACTACATTTGGTTTGGTTCTTGATTTATTTTATTTTGTTTGATAATGTCTATGTATAGATAACTTTTCATTGTGTACATTTAATAAGATTATAGTGATTGTACAATAACCTGCATGTTCTTCTAAAATCAAAATCATATAAACACTTTATTAGATATATAATATCAAACTAAATCAAAGTGCACCATTTGTATTTAATGTCTTTTAATGACTTGTCCTACAGGATGTTGAAGTGACTTCTCCTCCAGATGACAGCATCAGCTGTCTGGCTTTCAGTCCCCCCACCATGCCAGGAAATTTCCTGATCGGAGGATCCTGGGCCAATGATGTACGTTATTTACTCCGTCATAACAATGGTGTTAATAATGGTGTACACTTGTAAATAGATTTACCAAAGGTTATTCTCTCACCAGGCTTATCTTGCAGGACTACTTCTGCACTACATAATGACTTTGTAGTGGGCTCACAAGTAAACGTAGTTTAACTGTGTTGTATCTTCTGACCTCAGGTCCGGTGCTGGGAGGTGCAGGACAATGGACAGACTGTCCCCAAAGCCCAGCAGATGCACACAGGTCCAGTGCTGGATGCCTGTTGGAGCGATGTAGGTCTCATCATACAAAGTCATTCAAAACCTGTATTAGATTGCTGTTTTCTGGGCCACAGATTAATTTATGATGTGCTGTTCTCTTTAACCAGGATGGGAGTAAAGTCTTTACTGCTTCCTGTGACAAAACAGCCAAGATGTGGGATCTTAACAGCAATCAAGCGATGCAGATTGCCCAGGTTCGATGAGAGACCCTAGCTCAACTATGTGGTCATAAGAATGAAGCAGAATTATCTCACCTCTTACCATATCTCTTCACAGCATGACGGTCCGATCAAAGCGATCCACTGGATAAAAGCCCCAAACTACAGCTGTATCATGACTGGCAGTTGGGACAAAACACTGAAGGTACAACAGCCATTTCAACACATCTGTTCAGAAGACACGTTTGCCTTTAGGGTCTCAAGAAAATCTGAAAAAAATAAAAATAAGATCCAGAAAGTGCAGTGATAGTGATACATCCATGAGTATGGAGGCTTATCAGATGCACAGTGGTTTATAATACTCTGAGACAGGGATGTGCACTCTTTGATTGGCCAATGCAGCGCCTAACTGAATGAAACTGGCAACAGCTGAACTTTTTTGCCTGATCACCAAGTTTTGTTTGGTTTTTTTCCCCCCTGACTCTGTCTGTTGGTATACTTGTTGTGTCAACAGAGTGGTCTCATTTAAATGAATCAGGGTGCTGCATTTTTTTCACACAGTGCTGTTTGTCTGAACGTGGCCAAAGGCCTATGTTGGACATCATACTTCATCATACTAAAACAGCTTTCTGGTAAACAAAATTTCAATTATTTCTGGACTATTGGCACCTTATCAATCATTGATGGCCTTTTTTTGACCTTTTGACACAAAATATTGATTTATTATTGAGTAGCTGGTCAATTTGAACATTTATCTGTTAGTGGCTGGTAGATGTTCACATTTTAAAAAGTTAATTTCCCACCCTGATTTAGACTCCTAAATGCAACCATAATGATCACTCATCAGGGAGGCATATCAGACACTGTGGCGTCTAACGCTCTCGTCTGTTCTTCTCTTTAGTTCTGGGACACCCGCTCTCCCAATCCCATGATGTCTCTGCAGATGCCAGAGAGATGCTACTGTGCAGATGTTGTAAGTAGTTTATGAGGAGTATAACACAAATATCAATGGTGGTTGAGTAGATAATTGTTTATGTAAATGTTGTTATTGTGTTAACCTCCTTGACTGTTACATGTAGGTATACCCCATGGCGGTCGTTGCCACAGCTGAGAGAGGCCTGATAGTGTACCAGCTGGAGAACCAGCCCTCTGAGTTTCGCAGAATAGACTCTCCTCTCAAACATCAGGTGAATTTTCTCTTTGTCTTTTCCCACCAGTATTCTTTGTTTGTACAGTAATCATGTACAGCCAGGTTCATTTTCTTTGACTTGATGCTAAATAAAAGGCCAAACTTTGTAAGATATTGGATTTTTTCATGTATGACTGCCTTCTGATCCAGTGTACTTTTCCTCCCTGGCCCTGCAGCATCGCTGTGTTGCCATATTCAAGGACAAGCAGAACAAACCCACAGGCTTTGCACTGGGAAGCATTGAGGGCCGAGTGGCCATCCATTATATCAACCCTCCAAACCCGTGAGTGTCTCAAACAATCAATTTACTTACAGGTGGTTAGGGTTTGTTTTGCAGTCTTCGGTCCAGTAAAGGTCAAGCATGTTTGATTAGTATTTTGTTTTTACACAATTTAAAAGAAGCTGCTCTTCCTTTAAAAAATATGAATGTGCTCCCTGATTTCTTTCAGAGCCAAAGACAATTTCACCTTTAAGTGCCACAGGTCCAATGGAACCAACACAACCACTCCGCAGGACATCTATGCTGTAAGTTGTATTTGTTGTTTGACATTTTATAAACATATTTTTATTGGAACAGACAAATTGTATCCAGTGTGTGGATTTTATTGTCCAGGTTATTAATGTTATAACAGACCTTTTTCACGGCAGATATTCTGTTTGCCATAGTAGGAACAACCCTGGTGTAACTAACAACATTAAGAATTGATGCCTTTGGAACTGGCTTAACTACAACTAGAATGAATGTAGTTAATTACACCAGTGCTTTTCTTATGACTTGTCATATCTGCAGTCAAACAGGTATGTTAATGGTGTTTCATTTAGTACAGTGATCAATATCTGAAATCTGAAATATAACATTGACATTTTTAAATACAGTAGTAGGTTATAATGTGTGTATCCTTTGAATAATGTCATGATTCCCTCTTGTATTTCAGTTGGATTTGTCATATCCACTGAATATTTGGGTTGACACCATCTTGTTGAATAGCACTTATATATTACAGATTCAGTCACTGCAATATAGTCACTGATTCACTAACCAGTCTAATTATAATGTTGTCCCATGTCTCACCTACTAATTTCCATTTTCTCCCATCAGGTGAATGCTATCTCCTTCCATCCTGTCCATGGCACCCTGGCTACTGTGGGCTCAGACGGGCGCTTCAGCTTCTGGGACAAAGACGCCCGCACCAAGTTGAAGACATCAGAGCAGCTCGACCAGCCCATCACAGCCTGCTGCTTCAACAACAATGGCAACATCTTTGCATATGCTTCCAGTTACGACTGGTCAAAGGTAAGAGTTGTAAAATATTTACAGAAGTCTTGAGCTGCTGTTTGAATTTCACTGTTGCCATGCACTCCATGCTGGCCTTCACTCTTATTTGTAATTTTGTCCTCTTATCTGAATTCCTCAGGGCCATGAGTACTACAACCCCCAGAAAAAGAACTACATCTTCTTGAGGAATGCTGCAGAGGAGCTGAAGCCTCGGAACAAGAAATGGTGAGAGAAAGGCAGCCACTGCCTATTAAGGTGGAGACCACGGTTGCCGGACCGGGCTGCCCCACTTCCTCACTGCCCATATGATTCACAGTGGGGCCTTTTTTAAAGGCACTCCATGATCCCTGGTGTGCATGGATGTGGGCAGTGACAATAGACATGATTCAGATCTCAGTACTGCCATGTAGTGCTGCAGGTAGCCACTTAGTATATGAATGGTACTGTACTGACCCGAGTGCAGTCCCTTTGAAGGCTTGTGTGGTTTGTGCTGTAATGGTGTATAAAAGCTACCATCGCTGCCTGTGCCATCAGGAATTTTGGGATGAAGCCTGCTGGCTTCTTTACAGCATTTAGCTTTTAAGTAGTAAGGCTTTGCAGCGTATTCAATGGCATAGAAAGGACTGTTATTTATTAAATTATGAGATGATGGTGAAAAGGTTCAGGAAATATTGAACATAGGTCAGCAATAGGTTACAATGAATCAAACATCATCTGCAAGGTTTGATTTTTGTCTGCTGAAGAGTGCTATTGTACTATTTATTGTGTCCATAAAGGAACACAGTGAAATCAGAAATAAACAAAACAAAAAAAATCAGAAAAATGTTCTTTGTGACTGACTGCTCCTTCCTGTCTCTAGATTCGTCGTGCCAAGTCGCATCTCCCGTGAGGAAATTGCGGAAGACCTGCTGCTTTAGTGTGTGTATATGCTCAAGACAGACTCCTTCCTTTTGGCAAACACCTGGACCAATGCCGTGGTGTGTACTGTACATGGACCAATCAGACGGGCCTACCCAACCTGGTGTTGATGACAGCTGCGTGGCAATTGGTCTCATAGAGGTCCTCATAGAAGGGGAGGGATTTATTTGTCATTCATCTTGATGTTTCGATTTTTTTAATGTGTCAAGTCTTATTTTTTTTTTTTACAGCTTTCCAAAGACTTTTCATTCTCTTATGACTTGCTGTTACTCCATGGTTCGGCTCCATTAATGAAACTGAGATGTAAAATAAATAAGTGCATACTATTAGATTTGAACATGTTTATTCCAAGCTGAGGGGGTAATTGGGTTAAAACATTACCTACTGTGTTGGCTGTATAGATGTGGTGGATTCACAGAACTGTATTGTGCATGCGAAACCATGACTTTGACCACTATCTCATATTTTCGATGTAAATCTTTGGAATCCTTACAAAATCAAAATGATAAACTTTGGACAACATCTGTATCACTACGACCCCCTCCTGTCTGCTTGTTTTAATGCAAGTTAACCAGCAGGTGGAGCATTTTGCCTTTCAGTGTGTCAGCTCCAGCAGTTACCTGTAGATAAGTCCAGCTGCTGAGGTCAGGGTGCTAAACAGGACAAATGAGATCAAAGCAAGGCAGTGGGGTTCTTCATCCAGGTTAGGTCCTTTTGACAGGGATACACCGCTGGGAATGGGGAGAGGGGGTTATCATCAAGAGGATATGAATGAGGTAGCATGGCCAACTACAAAGACCATGTGTGAAAAGTGAACCAGTTCATAGAGGAGAAGGTGTGAATTAAATGCCTTTTTATTGAGGTCATTAGAGTATCACCTCACTGTTAGCCTGACCCTCGATCACTTAGCAGTGGAGCTCCAAGGCACCGGGGGCGGGAAAATAAACTGCTGCTACAGTTCACCGGCTCCTCTCAGCTGTCAAGGGGTGACACTGGTTCCACTCCTCTAGACCGCTGTAATGCTCAGTCAAGCTGCACCAAGTTTCGTTTAACTCAATGAAGAGAGAGTGAGAGTCCTCCAGGTCAGCTGCACTCATGATCAGGAATAAGGTTAATTCACCAGGAGAGAAACATTTATTTTGACAGGCAAGCAGCTAGAAAACTTTTACTGCTGGATTGACCTGTTGCTGTGGACCCTTTAATCTGCCCTTTCCTGCACAGAGGTTATCAGTGCCTGTGAGTAGCACGTAGAGACATGTAGAAAGCATAACGATAATGAGTTCAAGTACACATTTAACACTTTTCAGAATGTGCCAATCATTTGCTTTTATGATAGGGTAATAAGAGGTGGCCTGTTTTAGTCTGGCCCAATGAAGTTTGTCATTATGTACTTTAACCAGTCTATGTATGTCTGTCTGGAACTTTGATTCTCCAAAAAGGAGTTAGAAATACACAAGTAACTTAATATACAATAATTATAGTAGTTTTAAATGAATCTCATGTGGTATATAGTACTGTAATACTATGCTAGACTGTAGAATATAAAATGATGAATAACACTGCCTGTAATGTGAGTTTCCTGTAGCTTTACTGAGTGATATAAAATGGTTTAAGTGAAGTTTACAGCCCTAGCATGAACAGATTATAAAGTAGGGCCAAGGTTTATTGTGTTTAAGTGGTGTAGTTTCCACTGTCCTTTTGTTTCAGCTGCACAGCAACCTATAACTCTATATGCCACAACACGTGTATATCTGCTTCCTGCTCGGCCTGTATCTGCCCTGTCATGATGTCATGATTACTAAGTGAAGTCAAAGTAAAATGAGCACACTTTAACTGCTGCATAAAGCTTGGAAAGGTGATTTAGGTCAGAAGCTGAGACAATTACTTCCTCCTTTACAGTAGTACAATGCACCATGTGTCAGAGGCGCGCTTTCTGCCATACAGATCGGCTTTTTCTTTGTGTTGTAAAGGACAAAAGCAGGTGCAACGCAGCGCCGGGAAAGGCGGACCAATGGGCGGAGCCGCGGCCCCAAGTTGGCACCCAGCGGCCGCGCTGATTGGTCAACATGTATGTGTGGGCGTGGCCTCGGCCATGGCGTATAAAGTCTCCCGGCACATTTCCTCACAGCGGCGAGGAAGCAACCAGTGTGGACGCGACCGGAGGAGCCCCGCTGAATTATAGTTGTCATCAGGTTGCTTTACAACTTTGAGCGAAGGGCAACACGGGGGGGAACTACAGCATTATATATATATATATATATATATAGAGAGAGAGAGAGAGAGAGAGAGAGAGAGAGATATTAGGTTGTGTTGTACGGATGCTGGGACGTTGTTGAGCGTTTGGTAAATCTTCAGCGTGCCTCTGGTCTTGTCTCCGGCTGACCAATGCTTCTGCATCAGTTCATGAACGGAGCCCTGGAAGTCATGCATCCCTCACCGCTTCAGAAAGACACTACTTTTACCAAAATCTTTGTCGGCGGGCTGCCGTACCACACGAACGATGCCTCGCTGCGAAAATATTTCGAGGCCTTTGGGGACATTGACGAGGCTGTGGTGATAACGGACAGACAGACCGGTAAATCCAGAGGATACGGCTTTGTGAGTACAAACAAGACTGCCATGCACCATAATATGCACCTTGAGACCAACACGCAGCTCTCATTCACAACTTTGATCACTATTTAAAAAAAAAAAAAACACACATACACATCACAAGCTACTTATGTGCTGTAATCCCGCCATATAGCTCAGTTCCTGTCTGACTGCTGTCATTTTAACATGCTTGTTTTCGGTGTCTGCACAACACTTGCATTTTAAGTGTTGTTACTGGATGTGATCATTCAGATATGACCCCCCCACCCCCAAGTGAAGCTTACACGCATAATTGCACAGCATCTCTGTTTTTTCGCCTGGCTTGCTGTTATTTTAGCTTAATGAGGATGAGGGATCATACAAGTTGATGGGTAACTAAGAAGATTATATTTCAACATATGTCTGATGTCCACCCCCCACAAACCCCCAGTGAATGACCCCCCCCCTTTCTCACCCCCTGAGCAGCTCCAGCTTATGGCTTTGGAAGATGTGTGTGTGTGTGTGTGTGTGTGTGTGTGTGTGTGTGTGTGTGTGTGTGTGTGAGACAGTCTGCACTACTTGCTTGCTTTATATGGTTATTTTGGAGCCGTGGGGAGGTTGACCTTGCACACCAAGCCCTCCATTGTCAAGGACCGGAGCAGTCGGTTGTAGCACATGATTTACATCACATCTTGGCTGCTGAGGGAGAAATTCCAACATCAACAGATTGGCTCTCTAGTATACTGCAAATTTATGTTAAAATCCCCTTTGATCTTATCACTGTGGCTGTCCAGGCCTTAGAAAGTACTTTTGAAGTTTATAAAACATAAACTAAGTTGTACCCAGTCTTAGCCTGCCTTGTGATCTCAGCTCATGGTGTAAGGTGGGAAAGGTGCTGTTTACCGGTACATTAATCACAACTTGATCCTTGGCCGGAGTTGCTTTACATCAGGTTAATGAAAAATATCCAAGGACCCTTGTGATGTCTAATTTTAAGTCTGCACTAATAGGTGACTTATCCTGTTCCAGGCAGATACAGATAGTCATTCTCTCTTTCACACAAAGAACAGAAGCAGCTCCAGAAATGCAAATATTTACCAGAACCTTGGAAACACAGCAGCACTAATGTACTGTCAGGCCAAAGAAGGAATGGAAAACTGTTATGTGTGCATGTTTACATCAAAAGACAGAGTTGTAAGACAATTGCTCTCAGTGTTTACACATCAGCTCCCAAACGCCGAGCAAAGCTGTCCTGTGAGTCTAGCTGGTATCAAACGGCTCCACATTGAAGCTGGTGTTTCACGTTAAACAGGCTTGGGCTGGTGTGTGTGTGTGTGTGTGTGTGTGTTGCCCGGGACAAGACACACATTTTGTGTGGCATGAGGCAACCTGCTAATTCTGTTTTCTAAGCGATCCAGTCGGGGAGGTAGCTGGCAGCAGGAGGGGAGGGGAGGGGAGGGAGGGAGGCGCCCCCCCAAAGCTGAGTGCACCTTTTTTCTAAACACACTTCAGAGGTGGATTAGTAGAACCCCCCACAGCAAGGCTCTTCACAGTGTAAACACAGCCTCGTTCCTTCCTGTGTGTTCACAACACAGGCCCTGGAGTGGGCTTTGTTCCGGATCCTTACGCTATGAAGAGGCATACTGCTTTTTAAAAATGTCCTCTTAAACAATGCGAGCCGTGGCCTACATTCACTGCTCGGTCCACACGCCGAGGTGATTGAACCCTCTGAGTTGGCAGAATGTGGCAATCAAAACAGAAGGGCTTGTCTAATGCCAGGAGGGAGAGAGGAGGGGTGGACTAATACCAATCTCCTTAATATTTTGTCCCTAATTGGATAAGCTCCTTGTTGCTCTTCCCAGATCCATATTTCAGCAGGCCTGCCCATGGCTGAGTGGCAGTCAAGTGGCTGGCCACGGCTGCTGTGGGCAGTTTTCAAAGATTATCATTGTGCTTTGTTTCTAGTTTTCCTTCTTCTCTGTCAGAGAAACAGTGGAAAGCCTGTAGGGGGAATTTTGTGATAAGACTAACAGACCAAGTCCCTTTTTTAAATGCATTTCAAGTGTTTTTTTGTGTTTGGTTTTGCTTAAATAGTCAATGTGTCACCAGCCGCAGAGCCTTGCTACCGTCTGTTTGTTACCTCAGACAATGATTGTCTTTCTTGTGAGACCTTGTTGACGAGTCTGGCTCTGTCACCAGGTGACAATGACAGACCGAGGAGCAGCAGAGAGAGCCTGCAAGGATCCCAACCCCATAATTGATGGCAGGAAGGCCAATGTCAACCTGGCCTACCTGGGTGCCAAACCCCGCAGCATACAGACAGGTGAGATATATATATATATATATATATGTTGTTTCACACTTCAATTAAACCACACACAAAACAAAAATCCATAAAAAATAAATTAAAAAAACTAGAGCTGCATGTTAAAGAGATTCTGTATGCTCAAAGTTATGTAATACAGCTGTCAACAAATGTCCAGTTGTAGCATATTTTATTTTTACATTCCAAACAACGTTCTGTTTGTCAGACACGTACACGTTTTACTGCTTATTGCGCATTTCAAACTGTTGTTCCAGTCGTGGTAGGTCTGAAACAGGCACTGTCTCTGTCTCTCCGTGCCCTCTGTGTATTGTTCTCTGGCCCTCCTCTGTAAATGCAAATGTGTGTGTCTGACAGCCACCCTCCTATCTTCCAGGCATATCCATCGGAGTGCAGCCCATTCACCCAGCACTCATCCAGAGGCAGTATGGGTAAGTGAGCGGGAGTGGGCGCTTGTTTTATTCACTTGTATTACCCTTCTTTGGGACGCCACTAGGCTACTATTTCTTTGACAAACATGGCCTCTAGAAAGTACATGTCAGTTTCTGTGTCCACATGCAACTCTACAAGTAGTCTATTAGCATATTTGAGTTTTGGAGAGCTGGTAGGGCTGGGAGATGGTTCACATATCTGTGGTAATGGAAAAGCATTCCAGAGGTGAATGTGTGACTCACTTGTTGGCTTCTGTCAGGAGCTTCTTGACTCGTGTACCTGCCTGAGTGGTCTCTGTCACTGAGAAGGCGTCCTAGAGGTGACTGTGTTGTAGAAACAGCCTGGGTAGCGTTGAGGAGAACACGGTCTGCTGAGCAGCTAATGAGCATTTCACTCCAGTAATGACTCTCCTCACCCCCTGCAGCTCTCAGTATTCATCCCACACCACCATTCATATCTTACATACATCTGTCTGGGAGATTGAAATACCACAAGAAGTCAAGATAACTTTATAAAGTTATTTTTGTGTGTACAGGTCATGAATAAATGACAATATTTCTAATATAACGGTTTGATTAATTGAACAACAGAAAAGCAGTCAACTATTTTGATGACCGTTTGTCCCACTCATCTATCCAGTATAGAGTCAACAGCGTGCTGGTTTTAGCTTCTTAGATTTGAGTATTTTCTGCTTCTGTGTTTTCCAATGTTTAACTAATTGTAAATTGAAGGTCTTAGAACTGTTCGTTAGACAAAAACAGCAATTCACCATGGCTGTTTTTTCACAGTTCTGTTTTTCTGATGTTTTACAGGCCAAAACCAATGGAAATAAATGATCAACCGATAATTTCTATAATGAAAGTAATCAGTAGTTGCAGCCAGAGATATTTTCAGGGAAGTGCGAATCGAGCTATTTGAATGTCAACTCGCTGTTTGGAAGTTGTAACTATTGTTGGCATTTCATGAGTGAAATGATCAGTTAATTAATCTAAAGCATAATTGGGAGATGAATATGCAATGAAATAATCAGTATTTGCAGCCCTATAGTGTATATAACCTCAGAGCATGTGAGTACTTAAAGAGCTTCATGGAAATCCCAGCACAGTCCACTGGGACAAGGACAAAATAAGAAACGTTTGGTGGTTTTTGGAGGTTACAAGTAGTGTATATCAGCCATACCCCCCTGTATGATCTCACTGGGTCTGAATGCTAAATCTCAGGGTCCGCTAGGGACATGTCCCATCATTTTCCAAGACCTTAGGAGAACACTGGAAAGTCCCTCCAATGGCCATGCTACCATAGTGAACATGGACAGCACCAAAACCCTGAGGGGTTGAAATGTGGAGCACAGTGCTGCTCTGAGGCATGTGCCTGACAGGTGCTGGCTCATATTACAGCCTTCTACACTCCCTTAATCTCCCATGACCACCACCCCAGAGATGTGGAAAGGCACACAGAGCACCTGTCCGCCTGCCTCCGAGCTCCCTCTGTAAGGCGGGTGACAGACGCAGGCCTCCCTAAGATGCAAAGCGTACAAGTGGCTTTTCTCTCAGCCTCTTGTCTCCCCCCAAACCCCTTGACAACATATGGTGTAGGGATGTGGTCTGAGGTAGGATTTTGAACAGAGCAGGGGCATTGCATGTAGCTGTGGTGTGCTTGGTTTGGACTTACTGCTTTTTGTGTTGTTGTGTGTGTGTGTGTGTGTGTGTGTGTGTGTTTGTGTGTGTGTGTGTGTGTGTGTGTGTGTGTGTGTGTGTGTGTGTGTGTGTGTGTATAGCTGTGGTCAGCAGATGCTGTGGACTGTGAGGGCCAGAGGGGGTCACTGAGGCCAGGAACATTGTTTTGATGGGGAGGGGAGGAGTTGTCGGTGCTTACAGATTCATCTCCTCTCATGCATCACCTCCTCCACACTGTCCTTTTCCCTGTGCTTTCCCATGTCATACATATCCCATGTCCTGTGTATCCTTTAGCACTGGGTTTTACTTTCATTTCTCCCATTAAAGGCCAACACTTCCAGCGTGTCAGATAAGCCACATTTTCACTGCATGTATGGCTCTTTCTTTGGTTTTCCATTGTGGACAGTACCCGGTACTTTTGTTTTGGTATCTGCTCGGTCCAGGTTCCAAGCGAGCTAAGCTTATACTGAAAGTTGACCTGCAGACCACTGATTGGTAGAGAGCAAGCGGTGAGTGTGAGCAGAGCAGAGGAAAAGGTGAGCAGTGAAGTAGTCAACCTGGCAGTAAATGTAGTGCAAGTTACAGTTTGTCAGTGAATAAAGGCTGCAGCTTCTCAAGACCAAAGTTCAGCTCCCAGGTATTGTTCCCCAACGGATGGAAGAGTGAAGGGGGTTAATGCATTGTTGAGTTGATGCTGATGTCAGGCAGTTCGAGTTGAGAGTTGAGGTGTACTATCTGCAGTGGAAATTACCGAAAACAAGTCCAGTCGAGCAGTGCCATGCGGTGGAAACGCGGCAATGGAGGCACTGAAAACTGACACCTCTGTGAGACTATGTGGGGGAGTGGGGGTGTCAAAGAGGAGATTGAGGGGGAGGGTATCTGGTTGTGTATTCTGGGACTAATGCTTAATGAGGCTGTGCGCTCCCTAGGAAACCCACCTCTACAGGTGCCAAACAAAACACCTTTTTTTCCCCCTCCTGCTTTCAAAGAATATTCACAATCGTCTCAAACAAAGAGAGGAGGAGGAAGAAGGAATATCAAGTCCTCTTACAAGTATTGTGAGGTGTTGTTTAATTCCCCCACCCAGTCCAGTCTGTTTTCACACTTTGCGTTGCAGTGAGTCATGCGCTGAAGGTCATTTGTGTTATCGTGTAGAAATATTTATCTGCTCTGTGTGATATCGCCCAGGCTTTTCACATCAGCTCATTAAGTGGCCTTCATGATGATGATTACTTCAGCCTCTATTCGTAATGTTTATGGGCATCGAATGTTTTGTGGCGAGCTTGTTTCTCTAGTGTCTCGGCCTGCCGTCCGCAGAGTGGCATTATGTCAAATACACACAGACTGGCCGTCAGCACAAAACCAGCTGACCTATGATCTTCTGGCCGTCATCCTCATTCCCCTGCCATTGTCCCACAATCCACTTGGCATCTGGCATCTCTGTGGCCCCCGGGAGCTCACTACTGTCCCTAACTTGCCCCAGTCCCTCTTTTCTCTATAGATAGAAGCTAAAATTACAGTGAACATCTCTATTCCTGTGCACACCAAAGACGTAATACAGCAGTGCTTTGTCTTTCCTTAACTCCCTATAGGCTTACATTATGTACATGATTTCCTATTCCTCTTTACCTACACAAGGGCGCTTGATTTTGGGCCTAGATTAAGGCAAACTGCCTGTGGCGACGCGCTGCCAAGGCCACGGAGAAGGCAGGCTCATTATACATGAAGCGAGTGAAAGCACATATGCCCCGCAGCTTTAATGTATGGTCATGTTTGAAAGCTATGTGTGAGAGTGAATGCTTCTTTGTAAGCGGCTCAATAGCACTGCGAGCACAAAGTGTAGTTGGCGCTCATGGGTGGGGGGTGTTGCATTCATTTTCTTATGGTTACTTATTACATACCACCATTGTCTGGTTTTATGTCCATCACTCTCCAGATGTCTCAGTGAGCTTCTGTAACATGTTTCCACCACGCTGTTGTTTGAAATAGTTTGAAAAAGAGGGTGTTTATGCAGGTTTAACCCTGATATTTTATATTTGTAATGTTATATTATAGGTGGAATATCTCTGTTTTTTATTCTGAATGTCGGGGGTTTTGCTCATGCAACTCTTAGATTTTTTTTTTTTACGGTGTGCTTTCTGTACCCCCAATGCTCCTTGATCACATCCCTGTACTGACTTAATGATACAACTGGTTAATGTTATTGCTGACAATAATCAATGCCATCCTCCTATCCAACCTTCTGCCATGGCTGCTCTCTGCTGCCAGCTGACCAGTGTACCAGCAGAGGATCAGAAGATGCCAACAGTACAGGACTAGTCCCGAGGAGGGGTTTGACAGAAAATGTCTACACCCCCCCCATTCCCTCCCTCAGCTATCCTCTCTCCAAGGTGCCAGTGATGGCTTGAGAGTGCAGTGCGGTGTGCCGTGATGGATTGGAGTGGCTTTTTATCTCTTCCCTTTTGTGTGATATGAACTGAAGAGGTTATGCTGATTGCGGTGTGACTCTTTCCCTATTATGGCATGGTTTGGGGTTTGCACTGGTAACTGGTGTGTGGGTGGATGAAGGGGGCGGGGGGTTGTCAAGTCTGTGTGTCTTTTGAGAGCGTGATGACATCCCTATCCATGCATGCTTCATCTTTTGCTGTGTTGACTTCATGGCTGCCTCTCAATGCTGATCCTCTTCTTCTCTTGGATTAAATCTTTAGAAAAGAAAGTATAAAAGCGAAGATTGAAATTTTGAATACAGTCCATGAAAGGAAGATTTTCATCAGTACTGAGATGCAGCTGAAGAGCGTGTGTCAAAGTGACATTTGTTGTGACTATGTTGCCTTTGTCTTGGGGTGTGTGTCTGTGGATGTTTTCCCCCAAAAGCAAAGTATCATGGGTAAAGTCAGTTGCATCACCCTTTTTAAATGGAGGAGGAGGGTGGGGTGGGGAGGGGGTCTTCTCTCTGCCACAGCCATCCCTCCCAGGAGAGATACTTCAAGTCCTGAATAAAAATAGACTCCTCTAAAGCCCTCTCCCCTTCCCTTTCCTCCGTGGTTAAAGTAAAGACCGAAAGAGACGGAGAAACGGAGCAGTCCCCAGACCCCACAGCTCTAATCAGCTACATCGCAGTGCCAGCCCATGAGGCCCCGGCAGAGCCTGGTGCCCAGCCCTGATGAGCTCCCCTGTCACCATTACCTCCCCCCGCTAGCATCATCACCTGTGATAGTCTGCATGAGATTTACACACCAAGTGAGAACTAGAAAACTGCAACTTCTGCACAGCTTTCACACACTTCCCTTTTTTTGTGTGTGTGTGTGTGTATGTGTGTGAGACGAGTGAAGAGCAGCAGCTGTTAAAACACTCTGCTGATGCCTGAGCTTGAAAACCTGCCAGTAACGGCTGACTCTATCATTCACCCCCCCCCCCAACACACACACACACACACACACACACACACACTCCTCCCCTCCCGTCTACCTCAGGAGGCCCTACCTAACAGGTTTGGTAGGTTTTACTAACTGACACAGACGGAGGGTTGAGTCACCTTCGCCTCCTAACCTCCTCTGCCTCTCGTGTATTTAGTCTTTAATAACCGTGGATATCCGTGTGTGGACTCTTTGGGTTCAGAACACCTACAGAGAGTTCATACTCGCCCCCTGGGAGCTATGTAAACAATAGAAGCCCTGGGATTTATCTGCTCTGGTGCTTCAGCCCCTCTGTCTAATAACTCCCCCTGTTTGGTCTTTGTTTGCAGGATGGCCCAGCCATACGTCTACCCACAAGCCTATGTGCAACCCAGCCTGGTGCTGCCAACTCAGGTTTCCTCCTCCGTCAGCACCAGCCCTTACTTGGACTACAGTGCAGCCTACAGCCAGTACGCCCAAGCAGCCTTTGAACAGCAGTACCCATATGCCGCCTCCCCAGCCGGCTTCCTGGGCTACAGCTACGCCACCAGCCCCTCAGCCACCGCCGGCCCAGCTGCTGCCACCACAGCTCCAGCCACCGTCCACCCCACCCTCCCCTCCGCTGCTGGCCCGGGCCCGGCCTTCCTGCACTATGCCCCGCAGCAGCACATCCAGCCGGACCGTATGCAGTGAGCCGATGAAGGAAGCGGAGAAGAAGGAGCGGTACAGGTGGAGGAGGGGGAGGAGGAGGAGGAGGAGGAGGGGGTAGTGGTCGTGGACCTTTTGGGCAGAGGATGGCAAAACAGCCTACGGGGTGACCCAGCTGTCGTCAGCAGGGGCTTGCAGGAATAAGGGTGGTACTATTGCACTATACGATCAGGAGGAGCTGTCTGCTCGTTGGTAAAAAGGGGTGGGAAGGGTTGGAGGACTGTCAAGGTTCAGGTTGGGAAGCTAAACAGCATAAAGTATGTGATCGCTTCCAAGGGCTTCCAGAAGCTGACACTTCATTTTTTTTATTATTATAATTATTATTATTATTGTCCTTTTTATTATTGTATTAATGTCATTGTCAATGTTTGTTTGTATGCTATTATTATCATCAATGTTATGTTGTTGGCTCAATCAGTGGAAGTTATGTGTGTCCTTGGTACATATTGATGACTGTTAGAGAGCTTTCTGGGACATGTAACACCTCTTTACTCCCAACTCCAGACTATCTGGATGAAGGGCACTGCTGCTTTAGGAGAACACTGGGAGGACAGTCAGGGCTGTGGGGTGCAGGGTGAAGACAGGGTGGTGATTTTGGGGAGGCATCCAGCACGCCTCTCAACCTATCTGTGGTCCCATTCAGGTAGAGCACTGCCTCATGAACAAACCTCCAGCGTTCAGCTTCACACGGGAGGACGACGAGAGATTTCACCTCAAGGACAAAACAGAAAGTTTCAGTATATGAGACAGTGGGAGCTCCATTGTTTTGAGACTGCGATGTCAGGACTACAATTATTATTATTATTATTATTATTAATTTTTTTTTTTTTTTTAAAAGAGGCCTTAATAAAAAGAACTCCTTTTTCAATCTCCTGATTTTTCAAGCCCCCCCCACACACACACCACACACACACACACACAACAGAGCCAAGAGCAGAGAGTCCTTTGTTACTGGCCTCTCAGCAGTCAGTGACATTAATCTGGCTTACTTGGGTCTTGATAATTTCAAATGGATGTAGATAATCACATGCAGTACGTGGGTGATGGGGACCAGGATCGCTGTGTATCGATGTTGAAAGGTAGCTGACACTGAGCTCAAACACCAGTGGGTATTTCTTTTTTTTTTTTTTTTTTTTGTCACACTGTTTCTCTCAAAAGGACATTCATGTACAGCATTTTAAAATGTCATCAAGTACATTTACAATATTTATATGTAGGTATTTATGAGATACTAAGTTAAAATAGCTTTTTTTTTTTTTCCTATGACTATAGTTCTGGCACTGATGTCATTTATCCTGCAGAAGCATACCTGCAGATCCACAGGTGTCGTATTCATTTTGTTTTTTTCACCATGTCAGTGGATTTGCCCGGGTACACGGTAACTACAGTAGATGCTTGTTTGTAGATCCTTGACTGGTTGCATCAGAAATTCTCTAGTTTCTTTTTTTTTTTTTAATAAAAATGTCTTTTACAGTCCCTTCAAAGAAGCCATACCAAAAAAATAAAAAAAATAAAGACTTTGTACTCAATGATGCCTCTTGACTTCTTATTTGATAGTCCACTTTAAAGCACCAGAAATAAAAGTCAAGAAAGGGACCTTCAAAATGCCACCACTGGAGTTATTTGTGTTTACAGTATGTGGTATTGCAGTGTCACTGTATTCACAACAAAACTGAAATCCAGATCCTGCTGTGATGATAAAACCCTGTGGGGTGAGTGGGTTCAGTTATGTATGTGTGTGTGTGTGCGTGCTTATCAAGGCTGTGTGTGCTGTTGGATCCTGTGCAGAGGGTTGGGGGGGCCGATGAGGGGGGCCAGGAGGCCCAGACTTTTATCAAGCCTCAACACCACCACCTGCCCAGGGTGCAGGGTGTTCCCTCAGGCCGACACACTTTGGTCACATTCGTTCCTTCTCACAAGAGTTTTGTGTAAGGGAAGAAAAAAGGAGTTTGTCAGAAAGTGGTTTAAAGCCACGTTACCAAGAGCTGAAAGACACTGTTTTGTTTCACTCCGCTAAACAAGCTCAGCTAGTTCTGTTTCCCAGCAGCGTCTCTACATGTTTGTGCTGACATCAGCTTCTTTAAAAGATGTGTCACTTCTAAACCCCACTTAGGCCTGGAGAACAAAACCCAGGCAAGGTTGTTGGAAACAAAAACACATTAATTATCTTTTTGTCCCTAGCCAGGGTGTCATTTATCCTCCCAGTAATGATTTACAATATGGCCTATGAGTTCAATAGATGTTTGTGTGGTGCTTTGTTTTGATTAACATCTATTCACACCGTATACCTGTAAAATCCTGCTTTTAATTGGACGCCCTGCCCTTCCCTTCTACATGGGATTTCAGTTCACATGGTTTTTGCATTCTGATCCCTTATAGCTAGGTTTTCTTTCAAACAGTGTCCCAAGTTTGTTTAAGATGTATTCCTGCTATTTAGTGTCATAACTCCATTACGTTTGGGGACATACAGGAGACAGAAAGTAAGAGTGTACAGCCTTGCTAGTATCTCTGTTGGGCTGTACTTATGCACATCAATGCTTTGAGCTAAGTGCTGACAATGACAAAAATAACTTTCTTTTACCACCTTCACATCTCAGTTTAGCATGCTAGCATTTTCTAATTATCACTAAATAAAAATCACAGCTAATGGGAATTACATTAGTTTTCTTATCACGGTTAATAGCCTAAATCAATGCAGCATATTCACATAATGTAGGATGGCAGTAATTGTAAATTTAAATATAGGCATAGAGAACTTTAAATAAAGTTATTTACAATTTGGAAATTTACAGAACTACTACATTTCCCATAATGCCCCCATGTTTTAAACTCCACACCTTCAGTTTGTGTGAGTGTGACCAGTGACTAAATGCTTATAATTGGGGGAGTGCCCCTTTGACTGAAAGTGTGATGATGTAGGAAGCTTTTTGTTTTTCAGTGAGGACAGCGGGGTGAGTCTGTGTTCAGGAGCTGTGTCTAGGAACAAGACATGGCTTTGCAGTAAGTATACATTTAAAAAAAAAGAGCTTGATTGAAGCCATGCCAGTGCGTTAGGACCAGCTGTATATTATGACAACACGAAGGACAAGTTGCAGTTTTTTATAGCTGAATCATGTCACAGATTTTTAAACACATTTGCATTCAGCAGAATTAATGTCCTTGCTGTTGCTGTGTTTACTGGTTGTTGCTGTAGCGAGGCGGCTCTGGTCTCCCTCTCTTCTCTTCACTGTTTATCTCTCACTATCTCAGCCCCTGTTCTCTGTTAGTGATCTCACTCACACATCTATTTACTCAACTTTTCTGCATGTCATTTCTGTTTTTCCTTCCCCCTAACATCTCTTCTTGTCTTCTCCTCTTCGGTGCCTGTGGTTCTGTTTCTCCTCACACGCCATTGTTTCTATCTCCTTCTTTTCTCCCTCCACGCCTCCCTCCTCCTTATCTCTATCTTTCTTTCCTTCTCGCGTTCTCCTTGTGAATCACACCACAGAGGAGCAGAAACAGAGCCGGGTGTCAGCTTGATGAACGAGGTCATACAGGCCCAGCAGACCTTGTTATGCTGAGTCACCATAAGGCCTCTCTTGGTCTCTCGCTCTCGCTCTGTCTCTCTCTCTCTTCCCCTGTCTCTCTTTCACATGCACATACAAAGTAGGTTCAGTCAAATCTCACTCTCTGCATGCTTCTCGCTCTCTCGTGCAACTCTGACGTCAAGGGATTCCTCAGAACTGTCAGAAAAACAGTCCCACCTTATCAGGCCTCAGCTCAACTTTAATTGCAATTAGGCCCCTCTTGTTTTCATGGTTTCAACAACACGTGGGTTGGCCTTAGATCATGTAAATTAAAAGTATTCTACTTACATAATCTAATCAGAAATGTGAGTACACAAACTTGAGCAATAGCAGAAAGAGAACATGGATTTGGAACATCACCATTACTATTACATTATATGTGTGCCTCATTCCTGGTCACAGCTACATGTAAGCAGGTTATACACTTTTACATACGAACCTTTATCAAATTCTGCTTGTAGTTAGTCATTTAAGCTAACTAGCCTTCTTGGTGGGTGGCTAACAGTATTTAAATGTGGGGTAAGCAATTTGAGATAATGCGATTCCTATCAAATACACTTTTTTTTTAATTCAGCAAATATCCCTCGTGGCCTGCTAGCTTTCCATTCTGTATATGTGCTGAAAAAGTTAGGTGTTTGTACACAGCCCTGGCTCCGTAAATGGGAAACTAACACGGCTGATCGGACCGAGCCACACCAACTTGTTATTCCAGCCAGGATTTGTGTGCCAGGTAACATTAAATGACTTGCCCACGGACATCCAGCTTACTTTCTAGTTTGCCAAGACATGCCGTTGTTGTGATGTTAACTATAATAACAGGAGGGTTGTGAGTACTGTTGTCCGGAGCTGGTGTGCTGCCTCTGGGAAACAGCAGCAACTTTATACCCTTGCAAGGCAGCTGGATCACACGGCAATCCATTTCCATGCATCGAGCTACGGTCAATTAGTGTCCTATGAGGAAGTACTGGCAGCTGTGGCATGAGCCACAGGCGTGGTTTAACCATACCGTCAATAGGTTTAACAGTAGGTGTGTGTGACGACGTGTAAGAGGTGTGACAGTTTGCAAAATTACAGCATAGCTAATGTTAGTTACTTTACTATCTGTCATTGTTCACATTATATCATGGTATCTGTCATGGTATTGGATTTCTCCAGAATTACTTGCCCCACCTTTAACCTAGTTGGGTAACCTAGTTTTTCCAGGCATGATTAATGTAATTCCTTTTAAAAAGGTAACCCTGCATTTAAATCTGGATCTTAAGAATTTGTTGAGTGTGGTACACATCCTTTTTAAAATGGCTTATTATGCTAAAAGGTCTTTAATAGTAATTATTTATTCAGCTCAATACATTTGACAGATGATTACTATATTTTTGTACACATAAATGCATAATAAAGTGTGCTACTAAAGATTGTGTTATAATTTCTAGGGTTCATTTACAAAACTGTAATAATGCTATAAAAAAAGCTTCGATCTTAATTTTGTTTTTGCTCGCTGCTTTGGATGCTTGCGGTCTATAGCCTACAGTAAGTAAATGAAACAGCATGATTAATTACATCTAAATAAAGTGGAGTAGTACCATGTCATTTATAAGCTACATAAATATGAAATGATATAAAACTGTTGTGAGCACTCAGGGAGCCCTTCTTGTTTAATCTCCTTTGGAGGTTAATGTTTTATAGAGAATCATAAATAGCAATTTTATGAGGTCCTTATTTTATAATGGGCTATGATCATGCCTTAACATTATTTCCCTTATTAAATGGCCCCTAAAACCCAAGCCAAGCATCTTACACCTGACTGGCCCTGTCACTAGATCCTGTTGTGTCTGTGTGGCACCTCAGTCCAGTCCCACACTGGTGCGTCTGGGCCTGGGGAGTGTTGGTGCTGTGTTGTCAGATAGGCCTCAGATACAGGCTATATTTACCCAGGCTCTGAGACCCCCGAAACCCATCACATGCTCTTTCCTGTGGCCTTTTCCCACACCAATATCCCATTCAGATAACAAGGTCTGGTCTGGAGAGAGTCAGGTTTGAGCGAGTGGTAGAGGCAGTCTGTATGTGTCTGTATGTTTGTCCCTGTTAGAACAGAGTGATGTGCAGGATGGTATTATATGAGCAACCAGTGAAGACAGTCTGTGGTCATCATCAGTCATAAACCTAATGGGGGACAATACCTGTTGCATACTAATTTGTTTTCACTTGGTGTATTAACATTCCTTCTATATGAGTCTTACGCCCCCATGTACTAAGGCTGAGTCCTTGCCGCAGTGGCCCGGGTTTCGGTTCCAACCTGCGGCCATTTACTGCATGTCATCCCCTCTCTTTGTCTCCTCAGTTTCCTGTCTATCTGAAAGCTTGCACTATCCAAATAAAGGCGTGAAAAGAAAAATATTGTATATTACAAGTAGAAGTAAATGAATTGATCTGTAAGTAAGAGGAACAGGAGCTCAGAACAACAGTAGCTGATAGACTCACAACTAAACCTGTGCTGTGCTGCGATTCAACAATGATCCCAGCCTGTGATGCCGCCACACTGCGAAGAATGGCGCTATGGAAGGTATTGTGTACCTTGATGAAGTGTTAGTGGTTTAACATTTAACCAAATTACAATAAACGTGGGAGGAGCAGGAATGAAAAAAAAAACTGCAAACAGCAACTCCTATGCTACGCAGATGATACAAACCTGGACAAAGGTTGGCAGGATGAGGAGAAATGAGGAAATAAGGATTAAAAGCAGTTCAACTGGGTACAAAGCCAATGCTTCTGACAAGCTGAGCAACCTTATCATACCAAAGAATTCAGCTGGTTCAGCCAGTAAGGCTGGGCACAGTCTGAAACCAATGTACTGCGTCTTCCACAAAAACCCGTCACTTTGTCCCTATGGCATTGTTTTTACAACAGTGTACCATGGCGTAGTCAGGGATGCAGACTGTTAATGAAAGAATGATGTAGTAAAGTAT